TTAAATAAAAAATATAAAATTAATATCTTTATTTACATATTTTTTTCAAATCTTTTCCACTAAAAAATGAATAAAAGTTAAAGTAGATAATTTGGCAGCTTAAATATCTTTTCCACTGATGCAAAAAGAGACTGATGCAGATGCTTTGGTGGGGATTATACAGATCAAGTCCTTTTTATGGTTAAAGGATTTAATTAATGATTGTGAATTCTTTTTGTATGATTAAATTTGTAATTTTGAATTATGTATTAAATCAATAGTTATATAATTTTTTTTGTATTAGTAAAACTTGATATGAATGAGTAGAAATACCTCATATTTTAAATTAATAAAATTTATTTAATTGATAAAAAAAAAATCTTTTCCATTGCTTCCTTTTTTTCTTTTTTAGAATCTAATGAATTTTCAGCGATGAAAAATTAATAGCGCACCTGACTGTAAAATCTAAAATTTAATATTATCGTAACATGTAACACCTTGTCACCTTCTATAAAAAATTAAAAAAAAAGGTACGACGATTAGGCCCTTAGTGCTGTATCTTCCCTGCTATTATTACCTTGTCCACTGCAAAATTGAATAAAGTTAAAGTAGCTTTTTATTTTTGGCCAACAAGTTTAAAGTAGCTTATTTTGGCAGCATTAATATTTTTTTCCAATGCAAAATTAAATAAAGTCGGTATTAATGATTTTATCAGCCAACGTTTCACACATGGAGAAGAAAGAACATTATTTTTATCTATTATTAATTAATATTACTTATTAAAATTTTAATAGTGTTTAATAACTATTTTGTTTATCAATTTTAATTTTTTTAAATTTAATTTTAAATTGTGGTTTTATTTAGAGATTTCAATATTTTTAAAAAAATTAAAATAATGATTATTTATTTACCTTTTATTATTAGCTAAAAATTGAAAACTAAATGAATTCAAAATAAAATTATTGCTTTATTAATAAGATAAACAAAATTAAAAAACCTTATTTAAATTTAATTTGAATCTTATAAAGCAAAAAAATCTTTTAAATTAAGTCATTTATTTAAATTTCAAAATAATAAATCAAAAAATCAAAAAATAAATTGAAAAATGACATCCACCATGCGTCAATATTACAATCTATATTCATTTATTTTTGTTTTGATAAAATATATTCAATTATTAGCATACCTCAATTTGAAACACTCTATTTATACTCTTCTTGAGTACTCTATTACGCCAAACAGAGATATGGGAATTTTCACAATGCTCTCGACCACACTCTGCCTTCCGTTTTTCTTCCTCTGTCTTAAAACTGCCTTTTCATCCTCTTTACACTTCTGCTCTCATGAGGAGGCTGCTGCTTTGTTGCAATTCAAGACTTCCTTTCCCATCAATTACACTGTTTGTTATTCTAAGACTGAGTCATGGAAGGAAGGTATAGACTGCTGCTCCTGGGATGGGGTTAGCTGTGATAATGTCACAGGTCATGTAATTGCCCTTGATCTCAGCTCCGATTGCCTTTCTAGAACCTTTCCTTCGAACAGCACTCTTTTTCTCCTCAAAAACCTAAAGAGCCTCAATCTTTCCTTCAATGATTTTAGGCTTTCCAAGATTCCACCAGAAATCAGTCAGTTTACTAGACTAAAGCATCTTGATATCTCTTATTCTGAATTTTCGGGCCAAGTTCCAGCAAAAATTGCTCACCTCTCAAAGTTAGTTTCTCTCAATCTCTCTAACTTCTTCAGTTTTGAGTCTGATACTATGGTCTTTTCGTCTCCTCGTAATTTGATCCTTGAAACAACTACCTTGAGAAATCTTGTTCAGAATTTGAGTGAGGTGAGAGAACTTGTGCTTAGTGGAGTGGACATGACATCTGTTAATCCTCGTTTCTTCATGAATCTCTCTTTTTCTTTGACTACTCTTAATCTTCGTGATTGTCAGTTAAGAGGAAACTTTCCAAACAGTATTTTTCGCTTTCCAAATCTCAAAAATTTTTATTTAAGTGGATCTTTTGGAAAGGGAAACCTCACTATTGATCTTCCAAGTTCCAATTGGAGCAGTCCTCTCCAACAGTTAGATCTAAGTGATATGGATTGCGGAAGGCGATTGCCAGAGTCTATAGGAGATCTAAAGTCATTACAGTCTCTGTGTCTTTCTCACTGCAACTTGGAAGGTTCCATTCCAACTTCCATAGGGAACTTATCTGAACTTACCTCTCTTGAACTTTCCAGTAATCAGTTTTCTGGTCCCATTCTAGCTTCCATAGGTAACTTAAGGCAACTTACCTCTCTTTACCTTTCCGGTAATCAGTTTTCTGGTCCCATTCCAGCTTCCATAGGTAACTTAAGGCAACTTAC